GAACTGGAATGAACAACAAGTTCAGTTTAGATTAAGTCTCAAACATGTTTGTTTTCTGATTTTTATTCAAAGTGCTCAGCAGAACTCACCAACAACCAGAGTGACTGTGGCCTTAAACCGTCTGGGAACGATGCAGGTATACATTCCTTCGTCCTCCTCCGTGATGTTGTGCAGCGTCAGGGAAATGTTCCCACTGGACATGTCTGTGTCGTTTAGAGATGTTCTGTCCATGAATCTCGCATCAACGTCGGATGAGGGAGATTTGCTTCGGTAAGAGTACACCTGAGTTCCGTTTAATTCCCACAAAACTGTGAGGCTTCTGACATCGGATGCTGGATGCAGACGGCAGGGAAGGTGGGCGTCGCCGCCCAGAGGCACCTGGACCCGCTCAGGTGAGCCTTTGACCGAGTAGCTCCCCGGAGACACAAACAGCCCTTTAGAGTATCCTTGATTTAGTCTTATTTGAGTTCAAATGTGAGCTGGGTTCGGACTTCCAGCCTATCAGATTGCGCCCCTTGGCTTATAATGGAAAATAATAAACAGAAGAAGAACAACAAGGAGCAAAACCATTTACTGTCACACTCAGGGGTGACATACGTTTAGATTTGTTTTGTATTTATTATTTACAACAGAATTTCTCAGCTTAAGTCCTCTATTAAAATCAAGTGAATTAATCAGGCCTCTTCTCTGGTCTGAGCTGTTTATGCTCAGATAAACTGGAGGGTGACGGGTTTGCTGATTCCCATGATGCACCTCTCCTCCCTCTGTAGGCCCAGACCTGACCTCACTGATCTGCTCTGTGGGAGCAAAGCCTGGACTCTGGACCTAAGAAAGTGGAAGAAGATGGAAACTGACCACAGACACGTGGAGAGAGGATGAGGAGCAGCAGGGTCCAGCAGAGCGTCTTCATCCTGAGAGAGGAGACAGAGGAGAGTCACACACAATAAGAAAGTCCTGAACACAGATCTCTGTTCTGGGACTTTTCCTCCTGCAGAACGGAGCTGCTGCTGTACTAACTTCAGCTTCTGTTACAGGAACCAGTCCGTCTGCTTTTTAGGAAAAATGGGTTTTCTGTGACTAGGCTGATGGATTATTGTTGTGATTCACCACATTAAACAAAGAACTAACAACTTAAATGTTACTAATTATGAAGGATGTCAGAATAATACCAGTTCCATCACACAAAGAAAAAAACACCAAACAGAAATGGATGAACTGGTTATTTAAGAATCTCCAACAAAACACATAAGAATATTGAAAATATATAATGTTGTGATGTGATTCTATGTAATCATAAATAAATGTTACTGAATCTAACAGTTTTCAGTCTCAAGTGGCTAAAAATCGTGCTTAAAGCCAGTAAAGCCATTTCTGCTACGCTTTTCATCCAGCTGAAGGTTTTACTTACAAGGCCTCCTATTGGTTGAACAGAGAGCCTGTCTGTGATTGGCCTGTCTGTCATTGGCCTCTCTGTGATTGGCCGCTGGTTTATTTGCATACAGAGCGGGTAGTTCCAAACTGAGTTGTGTGACGAGGAGCGTGTCCGGAAGTAACTCGACAGTTTTCAACACTCACA